GGATTTGATTTTGTTGACATGTTTTACGTAATGAATGCCGCACTTATTTTCATGGAAATTGATAATTTTTTTTTTTTGCATGCATGTTAGCAAACATTATATCTAAACATTTCTGTTGTTTTTTTTCCTGAACGAATTAGAAAATATTTTGTGAATTTTCTCCGGAGGTAGTATTCAAGTTTGCGAAAAATCCGTAAAAATCCACACTCCGGACACTACCATCAGAATCTATTCCATATTTCAAAAATTCAACAACCACATTTTTAGTATTACATCTTCTCTACATTCTGTGAAAATTTCATGAAGATTGGGTTGAAAATGGTGGAGTTATTAATAAAAAGTATAGAGAAAAATCGCGTTTTGAGAAAACGGCCGATAAAGAAAAAGACAATATTGACTTTATGAGAAAATGGTGGTGACAAACATGCTCGGTACAGGGGAAAAGGCTTTTAGGTGTTCTTATGCGATGGAATAGTGGTAGGAGAGGCCGAGGAAATCTAAAAACGCCTACAATTGAAATTCCATAATTTTGAGCCGAATCGGGACTTTGGAGGTTAAACCCCCCATGCCCCTCTTAAGATTACTAGTGACTTTTGCTATGGTCGATGAGACCAATTCTGGCAGAGAAAAATGTTCCATATTTTGAACATTTGTGAGACATCGTGTTGAAATCAGGTGCTCGTCAAAATGAAGACATCGAAAAAAAAAAAAAGACATTTTTCTCCTCGTATGGCAATTTTTATCGAATTTTTGTATTTGGACGTAGTACCTTTAAGGTCCATTTAAAAACAGAATTCTGTGTGAATTTTACTGAAAAATGTTGATTTTAGGCTCAAAAATTTAAATGTGCAGTTTCTAAGGACTCTCAATTTTTGTAAGTTGCCAAACTTTGGTGACCTTTTTCTTGCTAATGTCACCTCTGAAACCGGGCGTCCCTCACCTCCTTCAACAGCAAATATCTCGACTTCTATTCATGATAGATGAATATTTTTTTTCACTGAAAGAAAGACAAACGAGCAAGCTTTAAAATGATACCAATAACTCCATACTATGTCCCAAATTGATGAGAGCCTGATTCCACCACGCTGCCTCACATGTGTCCCAAAATTGATGAGCGCCTGAATCCACTGTGTTGGGATACATATAAAAGCTCCACTTCCACTTATGTGTGTCTGCAGCTTTGCAGGCTTCTCTCTTGGAGTAATAATAACTCGTCCGCAGAATAAAATGTGAGGCAGCGTGGTGGAATCAGGCTCTCGTCAAAATAAGCAAAGTGAAGAAACTTGCATTTTTCTGAAGATTTGTGAATTTTTATCAAATTTCTTAGTGGAATTTTCTTAACAACGTTGATTAAAGGCGCAAAAAAAAGTAAATTTTCAGTTACCACGGACTCTTAAGCTAAGAAAATAACTAATCTTTGGTGGCCATTTTCTCACTAACTTTACCTCTGGAAACAGGTGACCCCATCTCCTTCATTCGCAAATATCTCGACTTGTAATCAAGATAAATGGATATTTTTTAAAATTGACATAAAGACAAATGAAGAAGCTTTAAGTTGACACCAATAACTCTACATGCCCAAATATTGACAAGCGTCTGATTCCACCACGCTGTCTCACATATTTCTCCACCGAAAGAGAAGAATGTGAAGACTTAAAGGTTAAGGTGACGTGTGACTTCTGCTGTGGTCGACGAGACCATATCTGACAGAGAAAACGTTGCCACAGTTTGTCCTTTTAAAAGCTCCACCTCCACTTATGGGTGTCCGCAGGTTTGCAGGCTTCTCTCTTGGTGAAGCCCTACAGGATTTGCTGCCCACTGTGACTGTTGCTCTTTAGCTGTGTCAGTCCGGAGCTAGGCTCTTACATGCCCAAGTGTTTCAGAATTCATTTAAGGAAAGGATCTGAATA